TAATCTGAGAGCGATTTCTTTTGCAGACATCACTTCGTGCATTTGCATTTCTACTGAATTCAGCTGCTATTCATATCTCTTCAAGATAGCTACAATTCCCACCTGTACTGAAGTACAGTTCATACTATCGTTCTGTAACCTTTCCCTTTAGCTTAATAGATAAAGTAATTTATAAGTAGGTGTCGCTAGTAAATTCTTGCAATGTATCCATTTCTATTTTCTACATCACAACCCGTATTTTAGTAGTCGCAAATCATAACTACGACCATCGAAATACCATGGATAGAACGCTAGGGGAGAAACTCGTAACTTGGATAATTCGTTAAGTCGCACAATAAACGGTCGCGAAATCAGCACGGGACCAGTGAATTCGCTCGTACCGAATATATGGCACTGCGGCATTTTCCGACGGGCATAAAATAAGGACCAAAAAACTTCCAACAGGAATTGTAGGCTATGAAAATGACTTATTGATGAAGGTAGAATGAACCGCGTAAGTAGTATCCTGCAGAATAGAACAATACAGTAATAGAGAGTATGATAACGACAGGGAGATGCTGTCATTTTTTCGATGTTCGTATAGCAAAAGGCCGGAAGATGCAATTAGCCAGATCAAAAGAATACAAGAGTGGTCAGGTCTGCATAGACAGCAAACCTTCAGGATGCAAGCATTGTCACTGACCAAAGCATTGTCTCAATTACTAGAAAACTGCTCGTGCTAGTCAACTTCTCAACTACTAATATATAGATAGGAAAACAAAGTCACAGAACGGCTGCGTGGGTGAGTGACCTCAAAGCGATAGGAAACACTGATCCTGGACGGACCGATTTCTTTGGTACAACAAGTAGAGAAGGAAAATTGGTAACCATTGAGATACCCCCTCTGGTGCATTTCGATGAGTTTCAATCACTCTTCACTGATAAAGCGCAAGATGCAGCACTCATCTCCATTTCCAGTACTCCTCAGGACTTAAAAACATGAAAGACAAGTAATCCTCGTTATTGTGACAATAAGCTAAGACAAACATAAATAGTGTATTAGTCAGTGATCCCGAAATCATAAGTTAGAGGTCTCTGAATAATTGCGAAAATTACTGTGTGGCATGGCATGAATCAATCGCTCGTCTTTCCCGGTCGAAAGAAATACGCTTCTAATTTGAGTGAATGGGAAGCGATGGTTGTGATGACGAAAAAGATTATTATCATGATGCTGGTGATGAGAATAAAGGTAGTGACAAAGCCGATGACAACGATTTTAAAACACTCGACCAAATATTATCAAAGTGCTAACTATGTAACCGATCAACTAATCAACGGATAATCCAAGAATTTGAACCACTTGCCCAGTTAGCGTCTGCTCTAGTCACCTAGAATGAAAGTTTTACATCCTGAATTCCTGATGCACCTTCTCAGAAAATCCTATTTATTTAACATAGTTTCGGGAGGATGTCAATAATCTTACCATCACGTTCGATATCTTCCTATCTATCTGAGAGGTCGATCTGATAGTATGAAAAACTACTCAGTCGTCACCATCATCTCCACCATTACTGTTTTCTTCCCCCTGCTCATCGGCGATATCACGATGATTATCATCGAAGAAATTCAAAAGATTGTAACCATACGATTTTAAAACAATTACCGATCTAGTGTTTGCTCAAACTGCCGGATATTTCTTATTGTTCGAATATGGCTGATGTGCTATTTTATAATGCTGATAATTTTCTCTGAAAACCTTAGTCAGCTAAGATGGTTTTGAGAATAAAGACTAGCATAGTTCCACTCTAATTATGCTGAAGTTAAGCTTAATTGTCCACTCTCGATAAGTTCAGTGTTATGAAAAGATAGAACACTTTATTGAGGAAGAACTGCTTGTGTCGTGAAATACGAGTTTTGCCTAATATTAATCTCAAGTACTATTTCAAATGGTCAATTATCATAAATCTTACCGAAGCTCTGTTAGCCTCACACGATAACGAAAAACGACAACAACAAGCGATATTTTATTGTAGTCCTCGTCACCACAGTCGTGACCATGATTTTCTTCACTACCAGGAACATCATCATCATAGCCATCAGTAGCAACGGCATCATCGACAACGAGTTTTTATTTCTTCTTACTTCCAAAGAATCATGTAGCTATTTATCTAAGGGGTGAAAGGGTGAAAGACAAGTCACTATCAAAAGGGTGAAAGACAAGTGACTCGATCAAAATATGAATCTTCGATATTCGTGATGTGATTGCGAGTTTAGCACTCAACTAAGTTAACCACCAGGTGAGTAAGGACAATCATCTGGACATTCCATAGAAAAACAAACGAACATATTATGTAATGTTATGAATGTCACGATTTCGTTCTGCCGTACACTTCAACGATGGGTCCATCTGTAAAATCATTCACGAAATTTTTGATACGACGCTGATTTGCATTTCAAAGTCATCATCCAAGAGTTACTTCTTAATGAAGGCAACATCTACCGGTAATACACTATAGCTTTGTGCTCGGTCTCTTGCTGATGCTCATTTATGAAATCCCTACTTTCTGTTAGCCATAAGGGTAAAAGTAAAATTCTATTATGTGGCATGTGCATCGTTTTCCGTTGCCAATTCACCCCTTCCTTGTTTTCCTAGGAAAATATGCAATT